GGCCTCAGGCAACGGCCCACCCCACTCGTCCACAGCGGCCGCCTCCTCCGCCCCCCCGGAGACCTCACTGTAGATGAAGTCAATGATGGCGTTGAGCGTCGGGTAGTCGAAGAGCGTGGTGGCGGGCAGCTTGACGCCGATCTTGGAGGACAGGGCGTTGCGGAATTCGACGGCGCCGAGTGAGTCGATGCCCAGTTCCTGCAGAGGGGAATCCAGAGGCGGCGCTTCCGTCATGCCGAGAACCGTTGCAGCTTCATCCACGACTGTCGTGTGGATGTACTCCTTGAGGGCCGCTGCATCCATGCTGCGCAGCTTAACCGACACGCCTGCCGCCGCGCCCCGCGTGGCAGCTGACCGCACTGTCTCGAAGAAGGGCGGGATGACATCGTACCTCGACAGGAAGATGTCCCACTTGAAGACCTGACAGCACGTCACCCCGACGCTCTCAGAGTGCCGCATGACGTCGCCGAGGACGCGAAGACCAAGATCGTTGGTTATGCCGCGCATTCCCGCCTTGTCGAGGTGCTGCTTGAGTTCGACCGCCATGCCCTGCTGGATCCACGGGCCCCACTGAATGCTCTGCGCCGCGAGCTTCTTGGATCGGCGGTACTCGGTGAGGGCGTCCAGGCAGGAGTTGGCCGACGAGTAGTTGGCCTGACCAAAGTTGCCGAGTAGTGAGGCGACGGAAGAGAACATCATGAAGTGGTCGAGAGGGGTGTCCTCGTCGAGCGACAGCTCGTGGAGGTACCACGCGCCCATCACCTGCACACACACACGAGGCAGAAGCGATGGATGGATGAGTAACAAACAATGCTCGTTAGGGGAACGATACATTCATTCTTCCGGTTGGGGGTCTCCTAACTGAGTGCTCGACTGACTGGCTGGCTGGCTCGCTGGGACTGAGTGAGAGAGCGACGGAATTGTGAGTGCCTGACTGACTGACTGACTGAATGGCGCAAGCAAAGAGTGATAAAGTGTGTGAGTGACTGGCGATGCGAGTGAGTGAGAGGAAGGGCGAGGGCAGCAGCCACGGCCTGGCTGGCTGGCTGCCTCACAACCCAAGTGACTGACTGGCTGACTGGCTGACTGGCTGACTGACTGACTCAGTGAATGAGTGAATGAGTGAGAGTCGAAGCAAGCTTGGGGGTCTCACTCACCTTCGGCAAGTAGACCTTCTCAACCTTGTCTTTGGTCTGGTTGCTGAGGGCAGCGTCGTCAGGCACACCAGCGGCGTGGAAGATGCCCCTCACTGGGTTGTTCGGCAGTCGCTCATTCAGATCGGCAAAGGCCTTCTCGCACTCGTC